GAAAATAAAAAATAAAATCATATTTCTACAAAATATTATTTTTAAAAATAGAAATAAAGAAGGAATATGAATATATTCTTTAAAAATATGTCTTACTCAAATTTAAAAACGAAGTAGATTATAACAAAAATAGTGCATTTGAGGAAATAGGTGGCTTAGTCAATAATTCGCCTACCAGACTCATATTTGAGAGTGATCTTGTTATGTTCCTTCCACATTCTTCGCCACATGCTTATCGGTAGCTCAATAAGTGTCCCTCTTCAGTGAAATGTGTCTTGACTCCATAGAGAGAAGAATATTATAATTTGTTATTATGATGTGTATTTTTCTTACACTTCGTTATAGAAGAATTATGTTAAAAGGATGAGCATGTTTAACCATAATATATACTCTCCCAAAACTTTTGAAATGCTCTCTTAGACCATTGCTATTCTGCCCCACTCTTACTGATCTCTTCTTGAGAGATGTTAAAACATGATTGGCTACTCGTGTTGTTGTTTCCATCGCTCATTTGTCATATGTTACATCAAACATATTGGGCCATCCAACTCGCATTTTTTCTTTCAGGCCTATGGTAACAGAGCTTATTCTCGTATGTTTCTCCATTCTCCTTGTGTGTATAGTTTTTGTAGGTATTTTGGTGATGATTTTCCTAGGTATCATGATGTAGGACTGTTTCTCATAATTGCAGATAAAAAGGCTGAAGGATAATAAGAATAACGTATTACTGATCGAGTGAAATAAGGCAAACTAGAGGGGACTAGGGAGAGAGAGGTGTTTATTTTCTTTTATTAGTTGTTTATTTTCTTCTCTTAAGACTCAATATTGCATTTTCATTTCACGATCTCATTACACCGCCACAGTGTCTCCATACTCTACATATCACAATTCCACATTTATTCCCAAAACAAACACCAAAATTAAGACACATCGAACTAACTCTTGTGATGCACTCACCTCTCTAGTTACATCTTCCTCCTTCTGCTCAATTTTATCTGCTATACGTCAACTTGAGGGTTCTTCTCTGCTACAGCAACTTTGCTGCCAAGGACCTACTCCACCAGCAAATACCATCGATTGTAGACCAACAGTTTCTATTAATTGTGTTTTAATTTTCATCTCTCATCATCTTTCTTTTGTCTTTCCCCTATATAATCATATTACACAATATATACCGACAATATATATATGCTCGAAGAATTAATTGGCTTCTGTATTTTATTAAATTTTGTTATTGGCGGGAAGTTAATTTTTTTTAAAATCAGCTCTGATTATCAGGAGAATATGGCGTATGGTATAGGAGCAATATTAGGAAGACTATGTGTAGAGTCATCACTTACCTTTGAAGGGTAGTATAGCTTTCTAGGTATATACCTGGAACATGATCTCGCTCAGAATTGTCAAGCTGCGCGGCATATTCCAAGACTACGTTATCATTTTTCCCCATCATATGGAGTCGACGTCCTGATTAGATGCAGTCGATACAGGTCATCACTGCAGAGAGTGATTCTCAGCTCCCCTTCGCGTCGATACCTTGACCACTGCAAGATTTCTCCTCGCGAGGAAATGCAATTGCCACCTCTGTATGTCTGCCGTCGTCGGGCCACGTGGTGGTCGATCATCATTGGTTCTTCCCGGACTTCCAGTCATTTTCACAAAATTAAATCACACACTGTCACGATACACATTCTTGCCAAGACTCCCCTTCAACACCTCTACCCTCCAATAATCTGTGTTGTTGTCACCCCTCCTCTTTTATTTTACCTCATTATTTTTGGCAGTAGTCATGGAACCCTGACTTCGGTCGTATTTTATTACAAGTTTCCACACAGCCACACATATAGTGGATATAGAAATGGTGATGTCGCAATGGGTCTTGATATTAAAATTGAAAATGCCAGTTGCAAGCAAATCTCCCAGAACTAAGACAACAGCTGTGTGAACTTTCTTAATGTTGAACAAAGCTCATTAAATATAGGATACATAGTCTCTCTCTGAAATTTTTTACTGACATTCATATAAGACCTGTCGATAATCAATACACTTATTAGATTATAGGAATGGAACCTCTTTGATCTAACTAATGTACGCACCACAATTTTTGATACCAATCCACCTTTTAGGATCTTCTCTAATTGCGTAGTGCGCATTGTAGCGCGGATCCATTCAGATGGTGAACAATATTTCTATAGTTGAGCTCCTTCTAGGATTCACGTCACTAACGCAGTATGGTTCATGTTCAATTCGAAACTTTACAATTATCAGGTCTCTTGATCAAACTGGCTTCTCTACAGGAAGATTCTACTCGCAATCGCACTCCGACATCTAGCAGTAGTATCTGGACTGGCTCTGTTGTATATGCGCAATCGCAATGGTTGTTGATTTTGTGTGATATTTGTTGATATTGTGATGTCCTTTTTCAAGAAGATAAAACGAGCATAACTTTGATGTTTTTGGAGTTTTGATATATAGGGAAAAATAGTACAAGCAGCCACGAGACATCCTACTCTCTATGCAACCTATGTCAGAGATTGTGTTAGGATATGATGTCTAGTATAAGGGGTGCTTCATGAGTCTGAAGACCCTGCATGAGCCCCTGAGATCTTTGTGCCACGCATATGTGCGGCATCAACAGAGAAGGTTGTAACTAACTCTATTCAACTTCAGAGAGAGTGACCTTATTAGCTTGCGATTATAATCCCACAAAAAAAAGAAGGAGAGGAGAGAAAGAGGGGGCATACAAGAAGAGTGAGGAAAGAAACGAGCCGTCAGATTAAGAGCAGAGAGTTGGAAACAAAGATGTAATGACCGATACCGTGAAGGCAAGGAAAATCGAGGGAGGAGCGGGATGGTGGGAATTGAGTGGATTGAAACGGTGGTTAGGGGCGATAGAGAATGTGAAATTGATTTGGTGGTTATGAGAAAGTTTTAAAATGAAAAATTGAAGACATAATTCAAATATGTGCATGTGTCGCTCAAAAAAGAAGAAGAAGGAGAAAGCTCATACAGTGTAATAAACGGAATTAGAGAAAAAATATTATAATCCATAGCACTGACGTACATCAGAAGAAAAGTTTGAAATTATTAGGAGTATAGGGCACAATTGATAGCAATGCCTCATCCATATAACGAATAAGCATCCTCATAATACATAAAGTATTACAGTCTTAGTGATTCTTAAAATATAAAATATGACAGAAGTCACAGAAATGAGAGAAGATATTTCTAGTAGAGAAGAATTAGTATGTCTCTGTAATAATGTGTGACAAATCTTATAATCTGTTATGGTTGAAACAAAAACCAACCAACATATATAATAGGTTCTATTTATTGGTAAGAAAATAGATTAGAAAAAGAGCTAAAAAATGATAGATAAAAGTAGGATACGGTTATTTATTGTTAAAATTCAGAAAAGATATTCAATGATTTTTTATTTTCAAACATAGTCTATTTAAATTCTTTTTATAATTGAAAAATAACAAAACAGAATATATTAAACAGAACTGAAAATAATAAAGGTCTTAAGTAAATACTAGGGGTAGTTTGCGGTTTGGCGGTTACGGTATGAGCGGCCAAAGGAATGTCAGAAATAGACCGTTATCCGATACTAGCTGAGATTGGCGGATTGGAGAAATAATCAAAATACGCGCAAAAACATGTGCGCTCATCCCGATGCAACGCATAAAAACCAGTACAAAATGGCGGACGGATTGGTATGCATGTTCGAGTGCGAAAATGTATGGACAGGAGTGATAATAATCCGGCATGCTCAAGACCCTAATGAGAATTTATAGAGACTTAAAGATTTTGTATTTTTAGTTTGTTTAAATATTCTGTTTGTATTTTCAATTAAAAAAGAATTTAAATATTATGTTGAAAAAAAAAATTCAACTTGAATATCTTTTTTGAATTTTAAAAAATAAACGTATTATTTATCTATATTTTTTAGTTTTTAAATCTATTTCTAAAAATAATAAATAGAAAATATGATATATGTTGGTTGGTTTTTGTTTTCAAAAACAGATATAGATGTAACAATACAGAGACATACAATCTCTACTAGTACTATATTTATGATTTTGGTGATTTGGGTTATTTTTATATTTTAAGAATCACAGATTGTAATACTTTATGTAGATGAGGGATGCTGTGATTGTAGTATATGGATGAGGCATGCAGTAATTGTGATACTCTAAAATTTCAAACTTTTTTGCTTTGGATGAGGCATGCAGTGATTATAATATTTTTTTAAGTTATTAACTGTAATACTTTCTTCTTCTTCTTCTTTTTTTGAGGAAATGCACAAGTTGAATTATGTTAAAAATTTATAAAATTTTAAACCACCAAATCAATTCACATCCATCCGCCAAACCGTCAATCCACTCAATCCACATCCGCCAGATTGGCGGACGGATGCGGATTAATTTTTTCCAATCCGTCAATCTGACGGACGAATAACGAATTGAAAGTTCCGTGACCGCAACTGACCCGCGCCCACCCCTATTACAAACATCTAACTTGGAGGGTTGGTTTTGTAATTTTCCCAAACAAAACCAATAAAAAGAGTTTCTGTTTTTATCTTTCTTGAAAAAGGACACACAGTAGCCAATCCACAAATACACCATGTGATAAGGAGTTTTGACACTATATGATCGAAGTGTCTAGAGATTCTAAAACATTTATTAAAATTTTTATCAAATATTAAACATAAGTGTGAAATTCACATAAAATTCACATGAGATCCGTGTAAATCCCACACCAATGAGAGTTTTTTAAGGTGTAAAATATTTTTTTCTATAGAGAAATTTCATTATCTAATAATTTGTGTATTATATAAGAAAAAAATATATATAATTATTAAGCTTTTCATTTCATTGGGAGTTTGTGCAACTGCATTTCATTTTAATCAAACATGAACCATTTCATTTCATTGTTCTTTTGTATGTAAAAAATATAGTATACTACAAAATAAAATAAAATAAAAGAAGGGACAGACAGACCTTTGGAGGGGGAGGTGGAAGGCCGGTGGTCGGAAGAGGATATTTCTTGAAATCAATGGCGCGGAGCTGATCACCGCCGCCGGCGGAGACATAGGGATGGCAATGGCATTCCCCGGAGGAGGAATTGCTGTAGCGAAGCAATCCCCCGGAGACCGCCTGCCTCGCGCACTCGAAGTACTGCGTGATTGGCAGCTCATTCGCGTTTTCCCAGTTTCCAAACACCGGTATTTGACCACTCTTCTTCCAATATTGCTCCTATACATACGAATATTTCCTTGATTAATCAAGAGCTGATTTAAAAAAAATTAACTTCCGCCAATAAAAAAATTAAAAAATACAGAGCCAATTAATTTCTCGAGCATATATATTTATATATATATATATAGAGAGAGAGAGAGAGAGATGAAACAATGAAGAAACTTACATTCATTGTTTTGAGGCAGCAAAGCTGAGCAGAGAAGAACCCCAAGTTACGAAGAATATTAAGGAGGAAGAAAAAAGTGTATCAGAAAAAGTTTGGTGTCTAATTTGGTTGTTTGGTTTGGGAATAATGGGGATTTGATGAGTGCTTAATGAGACGAAAAAGCATATAGATTGAGAAACTCCTATAAGATCCTCCCCATCTTCTATATGATATTAATATATTTTTATAATTATGAAAATTAAAACATATAAGATGCCTAGAAAATAAAAAATTCAAAAATAGAAAAGAGAGAGGAAAAGAACTGTAGTCAGCAAGAGAGAATAAAGAGGGAGATTGGCCATTTTTTATGGAGGACATAGAAAGTGGAAACAAACAGTAAAGTTGGAGGAAGAGAATTGTAAATTGTAATGTAGTAGCAGAGTAGGGGAGTAGATTGGTAGGTGCTCCCTTTTGTCAACCATTTTGAATTGAATTCTCTCTTTTTGTATATTACCATTAGCATGTGGGAATGGAAGACAACAACTCAAATAGGTGGTAGGGACTACCACTATTTCCAATGCACTATTTTTTTATTATTTTGTTTTTAATATTTGTTAAGAAATTTAAAAATAATCAGCTTCTTTAGTTCTATTTTTAAAAAAATATTTTTTAGAAAATTCTATTTTTTTATTTTCGGTATTTTAATGTTTTCAATGATTTTTTTAATATTTTAAGCAATTTTTTTTAAAAAAAATATTTAGACACATGGAACATCAATACACTTAAAAATTATAATATTTGTGAATTTTTTTAAAAAAATATACGAAGTACCAAAAAATACAAAATAAATACGAAAATTCAGTATATTTTTCATATTTTTGTGTATTTATTAATTTTTTAAAAATATTTTTTCACAAATATATTACTATTTAGATACATTTAAATAAGCTGCATCTAAAAAAGTAAAAAAAATGCTTAAAATTTAAAAAATATTCACTAAACAAAAAATACAAAAAATAAAAAACTTAATTTTTAGAAAATTGAATTCAGAAAAATGAAACCAAACATATTGAAAAAACAAAAAAAGGTTCTATAAAGGAGCATGATGATAGAATATTAATGTGTAAAATTGAAAAAAAAAATTGAAGCATTAAAAAACTGATAATGTTCTCAATTTTAAAATTAGAAAAAAACTGTTAATTTTTTCGATTTTATTGGATAGTTGAATTAAACTAATAAGTAGAAGGGTAAAAACGTTTAATCTCATACTCTGTTTTTTTTGTTAGTTAGTAAAACAATTATCTGGAACATTACTATGCAAAATTGATAATATCATTAGTTTTAAAAATTAGAAAAAACTGATAATATTCTTATTTTTACTAAATAAAATTTATTTGTTCAAAAAATCTTAAATAGAATCTGAACTATCATAATATTTATAAATAGCACTTTTAAGTAATTAACTCTTGGACAAATAAGAATGGATGGTTAATGTATAAGTCAAAATGTAATGTCTTTTTCTTTAAAAATGAATGAATACCATTTGAAAATGATGTTTTATTCTAAAGGAATGCTACAATAATTGTTTTATTTCTATTATTTAATGGGTTAGTTTAGTTATCAGTATTGCATTGTTAACATTAATATTGTATTAATAAGTAAAATGGTAAATATAATATAATATAAAAATAAGATAAATGTAGTATTATTGCTTTTTCAAATAATTGGGTCTATGATGACAAAAAAAATTTAATTATGTTTTTGTTTATTATATCATTTGTCATTAGATCAAATTTTCTTTTGTTAAAACTAAAAGGACTGAAATCAATGTAAACACAAGAAGAAATTAGAAAAATTTATATTTTAGTGTAAAAAAAAGAAGATTATCAATTTTTAATCTATATGACTAATGGATTATTGATGAAAATTAAATTAAGTGTTATAAGAATTAAATATTAACAAAATTTAATGTAATTTGACAGGGAGATTTTGTCACGACTCAAACCCGTCCCTATGGGTTTAGCACCGTAACCGGCCAGTAATCCGTGATTACCGAAGGCCTGCTTGACAGTAAAGACAATAGTATAGAGTACAAGGGCTGGCGGAAGCCAAAACAGTAATAAAAGATATCCAATGAGCTGTAACAGTCTGCATGCAAAAAGACTTTTTCGAACATATTCACATTTATAAGCAAAACATATATACACCATATGTACAAACATTCAGAGTACAGTACGAGTCTTAAACAGTATTACAAAACAGAGACGGAAGGGTGAAACTGAAACACCCTAAAAAAGCCTTAGCTCGGTTAGACTTGGAACCTCGAGGTGAGGCACAATGGTTGGCTTGGCAAAAAAGGAGTTAACCCGACGCTCTGATCCGGTGCTTGGACATCTACATATAAATATAAACAGTGAGCTAAAGCCCAGTGAATAACAGTTATGTAAAGAGGTTAAGAATGAATGTCCTTTCAGTCAATAAGCAGTCGTATCAGTCATTTAGAAACCATAGCAGTTATATATGGTACATCCAATAGCAAAGCAGTACAGTAGGTCTTAATAGACCGAACAGTCAGTTGATGACCATCATAACAGTAAACAGTAAACAGTAATGGTTCCAAACATGAGAATCGACAGAGATCTCTGTAACAGTAGCAGTAACAGTAGATTACTATGGATGCCACGAATTCAGTTCATAAATAGGACAAACATTCACTCAGTAAAAAATATCATTTCAGAAAGCAGTACAGTTGATCATTCAGAAAATATTCATGATTGAACATATCTTTACAACATTGTTACTCACGGAGTACTGGGCTACAGAGAGGCTAGTGAGCGTTCTCGGATGCCATTCCTACACAGATACAGAATGAACACACACTAAGTTACACACTTGGGAATCAATGACTTAGTCCCTATCTTGACTCGGTGTGGTTCTACATCAATAACCTCATTAAGATGCCTTAAACTAGGCCTAGGAATGCCTAGGATGAAATGAGGATGCAAAGATGTACTTTAAAACACTTTTCAAAATTTTCAGAAAACAGGGGTCTCGCTCGAGCGGACATGCAGACAAAGGATCTCCGCTCGAACGTGACTTCCTTCGCTTAAGCAGACTGTAAACTCATGAAAAGTACTGGATGCATGCAATTCACGCTCGATGGGCGCTCGACCTCCGCTCGAGCGTGAGACGCAAGTCCTTGCTCAAGCGTGCATTCCCTCGCTCGAGCGGACTGTAAACATATGAAAAGTACTGGATACACGCATTTCACGCTCTAGCGTTACTTTTCCCGCTCGAGCGGGATGCATGTACTCAGAGTGTACGCTCGAGCGTGAAGTCTTACGCTCGAGCGTGGGTTCAAAATCTGGAATTTCCATATTGAACCTCCAAGTTCAAATTCAACATTTAAAGCATCAAATTCGATTCTTTTGGGCCAATTTTCTGGAAAACACTTTAAAACTCATAATATGACATGTTTCAAAGATCAATTTGCAAAATCAAAGCCCAAAAATGAGTCAATTGAGCACAAAATCAACAATAACTTCAAGAACATAATGTGTATGTAACATGCATGTGTTCAATTGAAATCAAAGCTTCCAATACAAGATCAAATGAGTCAATCCTTCCAAAAATATGATGAATTCTTGAGCTATAACTAGAATGTAGACATGCATGTGAGAATTCCCATTAAAACAACCTCAAAACACACTAATGTGTACATGCATGCATGGATTACAACCCAATTCAACATTTTAAGCCATATCTTGGCTCTAGACTTCAATATCATCCTAGACCATGCAAGACACAACCTAAACTCATAATCAAGAAGATGAGTTCTTACCTTAGGTCTTGAATGTTAAGGTGTAGGAGCCTAATTTGTAAAACCTCTTCAATTCTTCAAATTTTCCTAGCCAAAACTTGTTGAAATCAATTCTCCTACTCTCCCTGTCTCACTCACTCGGTTTGGTCTCAAGAAGGATGATGAAATGAAAATATGCCAACATCTAAAAAGGGGAAATAAACAATGGCCTAGAGTTGTCCACTAAGTGGAAATTTCGTAAATAACTCAAACTAATGTATTTTAACATTATTTAATCCAATTTAATCATACCAAATCAAATTTCAATTAAATCTACCATAAAATCACATAAATTCTAATTAGCATAAAACACTAATCAATTTCTGGTTCGGCCGCCGATAAGGCCTTCAATTTGCAGTTCAAAATTAAAACATGAACAGATAAATTAATGACAAACAGATAGAAATGCATTTAACACAACACATTCATGCAATCAGTTTAGAATTTCATCCTAATCAGTTACTTATCATGTTCAGTCACAGTTTAGCAGTAATCAAAGGTGAGGGTTGTCACAGATTTCATAAATTGGCATTGAGCTGAGATAATGACCAAGCTAAATTAGGCCAAGCAACTTTGGGCCGAGCCAGGTTAGGCCAAGCAAGTGGCAGTGCGCTCGGCCAAGGCCCTGGTCCGATTTAGCTGGGTTAACATTGGAGTAAGGCCCGGTTAACTTCATTCGCTCGTTGAGTTAGACGGGTTAGATCTACCGCAGATTAGTCCAACCGAGCAGGAACTAGGTCATAACTGAGGATGGCTAAGCCGCAGGGGGATTCTTTAATGAAACCGGACAATTAGCACGGTCATTGTGTGACGATATGGCACCGTGCTAGGCGTAGCTCGGTTTAGAGCATTACACGTCTCAAAAGTAACACGGTCGTGGAATGATGGAGTGGCGTCGTGCTGTCCGTTCGTGCCAATGCCGTTTGGCAGTTTTGTTAGGTGGTATTTAGCTGTATTTGCGCTAGGAATGACAATGGAGCGGGGCGGGGCCGGGGATCCCACTCCCCGTCCCCGATCCCCGATGGCCAAAACTTCTCCGTTCCCGGGCCCGATCCTCGACGGAGAACCTATCATGGTCCCCGTTCACCCCCAATGGGGATCGGGTTTCCCCAACCCTGAAAATTCCCCGATCCAAATCTGTTTCAACATTTAACACCATCAACAACAACTTTTAACATCATCAGCAACAATCTTAAAAAATCATATAGAAAGAGAGAGACACACACACATACATACATACTTACATGTATATATTCACACATAAAGAGACATCCACATACATTATACATACACACAGAGACACACACATACATGTATACACACAGAGAGAGAGGACGACGGAGGAGATCAACACAGATCTGAGACCTCTGTGTGACTGCGACGATGGTGACTCAACGGATAAGAAGAAAGGGCAACGATGGAGGTGGAGCGAACGGTGGAGTCGACGGAGGTGAAGCGGCGGTGCGAGGTGAACAGTGACTCTGGTGTCGCGGATAATGACGGCTGCGCTGAGGAGGCGAAGATGAGAAGTGCGAGAGTGAGAGAGAGGAAATGAGAGGTGTGAGAGTGTAGAGGGAAGGGAGAGAGTGTGAAAGAGAGAGAGACAGAGTAGAACATAGGGGTTATATTAAGGGG